TTTTTTTTTTTGTCTTTTTTTGTTCTCTTAGACTCTTGCAATTGCAGTTTCCTCCAAGAAGATACAAGATCTGCGATACGAGATCACGATAGATTCACACACGCGTGAAATTTAAATTTTCTATGCAAGAGAAAAGAAGAAAAAAACGCATGGTTGTGTGAAGGAAGAAATTATTGACCTTTCGTGCTTTCTCGGACGAAAAAAAGATTTCTTGCAAATTTGAGAAGATATATGTGTGTGTGTAGTTGCCGTATGTTTCACCCACACGTCAATTGAACTCGAAAAGAAAGACTTATTAATAGCTTTGAGACTGAAATAACACATGGTAAAAACAATAGTGTAAATTGCACGAAATGTCGTAATAAAGTAAGAAATTCGTTTGCGAGCGGACAGTGGATCGAGAGTGAATAATATTAATATCGCCGATAATGTTCAGATTAAACAATGGTAAACAATTACTACGAAATTACGCGAAACATCGCGGCGAGATAAGGAATTTTTCCGAGCTGCAATTATTCGCGAATGCGCGTGCCTGCGGCGAAGGGAAGATCCTCTGTCGCGTAGAGAAATCTGACGTGCGATGGCCTGGCGAAAGAATCTGGGAAACGTCGGCCGGAAGGGACGAGGAGGCTGATCCGGGCTTCCGTTTATGTGATTTCGCCGGGGGAAGGAAACCTACCTGCCAGACGGCCGTAACGCTGAAACATTCGCTCCACATCGGTCTTGCTGCACTGAAACGTGTTTAGATTCCCGACGAAAACCCGGGAGTTCACCGCCTGTGGGTCCTGCGAATTGGTCTGGTTGCCCACTTTGCTCATCTTCATCGCCTGGAACAGAAGAATGTAACCGGGCACCGGTTTATCGTCGAACGTGATTTGAGTGACGATACGCGAACGAAAAGTGATACAGTCGTTTTATTGGCCTTCCCCTTAATAGAACAGCTTCTGTCATCCGGCGATTTTACGACGTTCGTTCTTCGATCTACACCACCAGCTCTTTTTTCTTTTCTTTCTTCCTTTATTTATATTGGGATCCTTTCGCGCGATCGTTTAATCTTGTCTGAATCGACGCGAAAGAAAGAAAGAAATTATTGGCATTAAAGGGCGGAATCACGGACGTCTACTTGCAAAACAAAACATCTTCTCAAAATATCTCAAATATCATCCGATCGGTACCGAGCAGACGTTGAAACGCGATTCTCTCGCCAGTCAAAGCTAAGAAGCAGAATTCGCGGTATTCAGGTTCGACTAGGCTACCGTGCCTTGCCCCTTGCAGGTACACAGAGAAACCTGGCCGAGATTTAATGAGGAGATCCACCGTGGCGTCCTTTAAATCGTCGAAAGACGCGCGGCTGGTATATATCGACGCGACACGACGCGAACGCCAGGGAATTAATTAACGCGTTTGCCATCCCATTCTAAAAACCATGGAGTTCGACGTGTTTACTACTACTTCGCGTCTCGCCTCGCCACGGCGATAATACGCCACAAAACTAATGAGATCGTTAGCGACGTCGACGTTAAATACAACGCGACGAAGGGTGAATCCTCCTACCTACCGTTGCATCAGTTAATCTCGCGGATGATCACGCGTTAATTGGTCGAACCTGCGCCGATTCATTCAGTCCGGTTCGACACCGAGAGAAAAATGAAAAAAAAAAAAAAAAAGGAGAAAGAGAAAAAAGTGCTTTCTACCCTTTGATCTCGTATAGCAGCTCGATTACAGCCCCGCTTTCATTCGTTCATTAACGTTGTCTGGCGCAACGATATTTTAATCCGATGGATACGAAACAACCTCGGCCATTTCATCGCCGTAATAATCGAAAAGTTTCACTTTATCTATAACTCTATTGGGACGGTGGAATGTGGCAGAGACTCCTCGACACCCACAACACCGTTTCCTTTGTGCAGAAAAAAAATCCTTCAAAAATTGTGACGTTACGTTCGTCTGTGTACACGTGAGAAACACCGCGCGCGAATTTGTTCCACAAGGGTTAGTTGAAAATTAATTGTTGGGAAACAAAAGTTCAAATATAACAACCTGGCCCCTGTTTCGAACGTGGAATTAATTCTTAACGTTAAAGTTCAAGTATAATAACCAAACTCTAGGCGAGCTTGTTTATTGAATGTAAAAGTCATGCAATGCAGCGAACGGCCTGCAGACATGTTGCTCACTCGTGCACAACATTGGAAGAATCAGATTCAAATTTAAAACTGAGAAATCTGAGGACACGGATCTCTCCGTGGATATTCCAATTTCCACGATGCAACTTTATTTTCAAATAAAACACGTACAAGGTAAAAGCAAAGTCAAAGCATGTGTCATTCCGTTTGCAATGTATAATGTACTGAATCGAAGTGAAATCAATGTAAAGAAAAAAGAAAAAAACAATTTTTCTCAAGATCAATGAATTAACAGCTCGAGGATTAATCGACATGCAAACGCGTTCGATCGTGGAGGAACTTCGCCGAAAGAGAACGAACGGGGCACGTTTGCATTACGAATCACAGCGAACGAAACCGTAACGCGTTAAACGAATAAAATCTTCGTGAATAAACACACGGGTGTTCGTCGATCGGCCGAGTATCTACGCTCGCGTGAACGCGCATGGAAATTTATAAAATCGAACGACACGATGCTTCGCGAATCGGTCGGCAATTATTTCGCGTAAAAGATCGATTCACCATACCGGTTTCTTCCACTTTTTTTTTTTTTTTTTTCGCCATACGACGAATTTCCTCTCGACAGAAACTTGGAGGTTAGTCCCTCGAATTAACACTTGTATACCGATCGGCAGTCGATTAATAGGCTACCGGTCAGTAAAGTGTTAATAATTCTAACCTCCTTGCAAATGTTCTTGCTATTTCGATACATCGATAGATTACTTGCAATTTCATCGCCTTTTCCAATAACAACGATACTTTCCCCTCTACTTGGGAAAGTATCGTTTCCCGGATTGGATTTTTCTGAAAAGGAAGAAACACTGGAAAAAATATTACGCGATAATTGCCAAGAGAAAATACTCGCCGTGCTATCCTGGTAACAGCGGTTTCCTTTTACTTGGAAAAATATTGAAAAAGGATTGGACTTTCCCGATGGAGGAAGTAGGAACTAAAATGTTGAGAACATCACGCCGTTTTATTCGTCGTCGAGTATATCAATGAACGCTAACGAGGCAGGAATATGTTGTATAGTACATCGGGGTAATGATATATATTATGTCGCGGCACATGTAACCACCCCTTAATATTGGTTTGATTGATGTTGGAGTAATTACTGGCGAACACGTTCAGT